AGTTTCGGATAGAACAGATAAAACTGGTTATGTCTGACACAAAAGTTTGCTAAAGTTTAGGGTTTTAAATATCAAAAATATGCAACCTTTGAGACATAGTCGCAGGATTTGGTGCATCCCTAACTCTGAAGCAAGTGAATGAGTATTGGTGTATATAATATGTTTAAAGAAGCAAATTAAGAAGATAAAAGCATCCCTTATCATTTCATTCAAGATATATGAAGTTAGCTAGTCAAAAGTATGTATTTTATCGAATTCATCAGCTGCATCAATGTCTATTCTATGAATGATTTAGCTATTTACCAGTTTTTTATTTTCACTAAAATTTTAAAGTCATATCAGTTGTAAATATGATCTCAGAATTACATTTTTTCGTTCACTTACTTGACCATTTGTTACTGTTGTCGTTGTTGATTTACTATTAGTATGTGTCGAATTTTCATTAGATTCATCATCTTTTGATTTCGGATATGGTAATGGTTTTGATAAACTTAATCTGACAATGCCTCGTGGAATACTTTTTAGTATTTTAACAGCTTCATCCAGTCCCATATTATCAAGTTGAATACCATTTACTGCTAATAGACGATCACCAGGTATTATACGACCGTCTAATTGAGCCACTCCACCGGGTACTAATGCTCGAATAACAATGACGGGTGAATGATTTGGTGTTGATGGATCCTAGAAATAAAATATGTTAATTATTAAAGATAATTTTCTCATTTCTTTTTTTACATCAATTACATACATTGTAATCTAATACTGAAAATCCCAAACCAAAATCATCTTTTTTTAAATCAACATTTATCACTGAATTACTCCACATTGCTAAATTTGAAATAACTTCTAATGAACGTGATTTTGGTTTAAGTAATTTTGGACGATATTTCAAAGATATTTTATTTGAATTATTATCATTATCCTTTTCATTTGATTCATCTAATGTACCCATACTTTTTGCTTTAACAATTAATTCTGTTGTTTTAGTAAATGTATTTAAATCATTTTCAATACCATTTTCATCATAATATTTTCTTGCACATATTAATTTAACTTGATTTTTAACATGTTTTAATACTTCAATAACATGAATATGATTTTTTCCATATAAAACATGATTATTTACCTAAAATGAACATATTGATAAATAGTCAATTTATTAGTCTTTCGCGTTGTTTATTTGACACCGACTAGTATTTTAAAATATGTACAATTTTTATTTTGGTCGTTTTTGTTTCAAAGATTAAAAATGTGTATCTGATTATTTCCACTTTTGCCTGTCAGTTATAGAAGAAACGATTATACGATTATTGAACATATCGCTGTATCACCTGCTCTCGGTCACTCTTAAATTATTTTTACATGTTTATGAACGACTTATTTCTTACTTCAAGTAATTCATCTCCCGGCATTAATGTTCCGTCGATTCCAATGGGTCCATCGCGTAGTAATGTTCGAATATAATGATGTGGACGTACTTCTTCACCATTTTCAACATCAACCGTACCTTCTAGCGTAATTCCGAGTCCACTTACATTTGATTTAAACACATCAGCAATCTTAAAACACAGAATTAAAAGTTTCATTTTGTTTTCGCATAATTTCTGTTCAAAATATATTACCAAAATTTCATAATTATCACCCTCCAATAATTTACGCCATTTTTTTCGTATTTGCTCATTGATTTCTACAGTAATTTAAAGAAGAAAAAATACTGTTGAAATTAATAATATTTTCAAAGAGCTTTTTAGAGGAGTAGAGAGCTCTTAAAAATTTTGCAAGCCGTTCTCGATCAAAATGAAAAACTAATACTAACGACGAAAGGATTTCAAGTTTTCGAATCATTTTTTTCGATGAAACTAGGTCGACTATATGTAATTGATGACACTGATTCCAAATAGATCATTGGAGCTGGCCTGTGACCGGGTTATTGATCGGGTTTCTGAAAACTAGATCTCCAGAAAACCAGGATCAAATCCAGAACATTTTTCTAAATCGGTCATTGTGTCGAGGACACAGAACTGGCTATGTTCCATAACTTTTAGTTTGTCAAAACAAGAATCAGCAGTGTAGGAAAAATTCCAAAAAAAGGCTGGCTACTCTAGTTTTGATGGAAAAATGTTGCAGTAGAATACTTTACAAAAATCAGTGGTATTCTGAAAAACTAGAAGTGAAGGGTTATAGCCAGCTCTGCGTCCTATACACAACCGTCGATTTAGAAAAACGTTCTGTATTTGATCCCTGGTTTTCTGGAGATCTAGTTTTTAGAAACCCGGTCAACAAAAGTCAAAGACCAGCTTTGATGATCATATTTGGAACCAGTGTCATCAATTACATATAGTCCACCTATTTTCATCAAAAAAAATGTTTTTCAATTTGAGACTCTTCCCTCGTGAGTGGACAATACATTTCTACGAAATCCTTACCATCTAGACTTTGAAATTCTATTTTCTCTTCTAAGTGAAGTTGTTCCGTCGGTTCTAATGCTATATAGAAAAAAAACATAAAAAAACAGAAGTAATTAGATTGATTAATCTACAAACGATTAAAAAATTTGAAATTACCAATCATATCTTTAATTTTTTCATTTTTAACATTGTCTAAATATCGTCGAACTTTTAATTGAACAGATGATGTTGTACTACGTAATAATTGTAATGCTTGAACATTTGAAAAACCATTTAATGATTGTTCATTAACTTCAACAATTTGATCTCCTACATATAATCGTCCATCTTTTGCACATACACTTTCGGCCGCTATATCACGTATAAATATGCCAGAAATAGCATCTAAACATCAAGTCAAATAAATATCGATATCCAATAATCAAAATTTCTTATATATTTGTATAAATAATTTATACCATTATTTGTTGAATCAGGACTAACATAACCAGCCACAGTAATTCCTAGTCCATCTTCGCCTTTTTCTAATGTAACATCTAATAATTCTGTACCATCTTCATGTGCACACTAAAAAAAACAAAAATAAAATCCAAAAGTATAATTAAATATACATTGTTTCTTTTATTAGCTAAAAATAGACGAAAAAGTAAATTACCATATGATTAATAATTGATAAAAGTATTAAAGAAACTTTTGGATAGTGTTTAGTTGATTTTTACGTAATAGAGAGAACATTATACTAATAAAAACTTATTTTTCTCTCTATTATGAGTTCCAGAACAATAAGAAAAACGATAAATAAGACATATAAAGACATGTTCTCGAGTCATGAAAAGAAAGAGGAGAAGAAGAATAAAAGAAGTAATTTATGTAAGATCAACAATATTGCGATCGATCAATGAAACATAATGTATTTGATACTACCGTAAGGAAAAGAAACTGCGTATAATTATTGTACTACTAGAAGATTTATTATTCAGATGAGTTAAATAAACGTTTATCTTCTTTTTTTATAAGGAAATTTGTTTTTTTGACAGGTTTTCTTTGCCAGTAGTCTCGGTCTCTAATAGAAGATTAGGTAAGAAAACAAAACACTATTGCTGGAGGTATAACAATTAAATTGTTCCATATGTATGTCAAATGAGAGTGATACCTAAACACCGAAAACAAATAAGAAGGAAAACGTCTGTCTACTTAATTCTTTTTCTATTTTTTTTTTTTAAAGATCTACTGTAGAAGAGATTTACTGCAATAAAGAGTACGTTAACCAAGTTTTAGTAAAACATAATCTAATAAATAAATACAATTAGTCAAACTTGATTACGGTGAAGTTTCATTTTATATTACATTAATTAACTTATAGAATATTTATACCATCAAAAATTTTGATTAATAGTCTATTTTATATTATTTATTCATTTTAATATTTGAAAAAGGAACATATTTCAATAAAATAATGAATAATAATGTTTTGTTTTTTTTATGATTCAGAATGATATTTTCTTTGTTTAAATTATCGATTATGTATTATCTACATAGTCTCTAAAGATCTATAATAGTAATTTCTATGTTAGTAAGTTGAGAAAAAAATAAAATAAAAATGTAAAAACCTTGATTAACTTATAATTATTAGAAAACGAAAATTGTCAAAAAAAAATATCGATAATGATGTGAGAAATTACTGAAACTACAGGTAAAAAAATTTTCAATTATTTTTATTGTCCATATCTTATGTGAATTAATAAATGACTATTGATTAGAGTATACATGCAAGCTTCTTCGAAAAAATTTATATGCATCAAAACGATGCAGAACAAACAGAAGGCATTTAGAAAGTTTTAGGAGAACTACTTTCACTGATTAAAAAAGATATCTATCAACATTTAGAAGAAATATTTTAAAAAACTTGTTAAATATTATGACTAAATCTTATTAGAAAATGTGATAGTTCTTAGTAAGATTCTAAAAAATTTTCATTCGATCTTAAAAACTGTAGTGCAATCGAGATGTGTTTAGATTGTATATTAATTAGGTATTTTAGAGTTTTAGAGTGAGAATAGTTGTGATGTCTATGTGTACTGTGTAATAAAATGATGCAGAAAGTGAATTCTTAACACGAAAAAAGTGAACAGGAACTATCCGTGTGTTAAGAGCAGAAAAATGCAACAAGTGTAAGTATAATGTCGTTGACAGATTTGAAAGTATTGCAGAGATGAGAGTGATACGAGTAATGGTTCCTTGCTGAGTTGAATGTCGGTCTTTTTTACGACATTTTATTTTACGTACAGATATAGATATTATTTATTATAATGATGCACTGAAAAGAAATGCATATCTATGTGGTGAACACTTGTATCTCTTGCGAAAGAATGACTTAAAAAGTATACTCTTCATCCATTTTCGACCAGAAGTTAGAGAAGTTTTTTTCCACGGAAAAATACATATGTAGTTTGAACTAGGCAGCTTGTCCACGTAACTCCTATGACAGAGATATTACAGCGTTACTTTTTTGCTCATTTTGTTTTGACTATAACTCCGAAACTAAAAGTTGTAGGGACTTCGGAGACGTTTTAAATTATAGAAACAACTGTTTTCTACATTTTGAGATCTGTTCAGACTCTAGGTAACATATTCTCATAAAACCGTAGTCCAAATTGTGAGACCTGCTTTTTAAGAATTGAAACCAAAGGTGTATATCTCAGCGTTATGATCACAGTTTTTTTAAAATAGGTTTCCTAGAGTCTATTCAGATCTCAAAATGTAGAAAACGGTTTTTTCTATAATTTAAAACGTCTCAGAACTCTTTACGATTTTTAATTTCGGAGTTATTGTCGAAACAAAATGAGTAAAAAAATAACGCTGTGACATCTCTGCCATAGGAGTTACGTGGACAAGCCGTAGGGTTGTTCATATGGATACAAAATAAAAAGTAATGAGAATCGATTTAACGTTTCGTCAAATCGTATAAAACAAATTCTATTTAGTAATTTTGTCTGTTAAAAGTACATTTTACTAGCATAAAACATGTTGACATATGCTGGTGTATGTGTCACACACGTTTCTGTACATGTCTATTCGATGTACGATGATCATTGACCTATATATATTCGACTTTGTGGAAAATATATAGTAAAAATAGTTACATTTTTGATGATTAATACTTTTTTTCTTCTTTGATGTTTTTCTTGAAAACAACTTTTCCCTTGGTACACGTCGTTGGCATCCGTTATGATTCTATTAAAAACTCGTTCAATCGAGCTCCAGTTTTCAGCCCATATCTAAGAGGTAGTCTTTTTGGAATTTTTCGAAAGTCTTTCCTTATGAGATTTTTACCGGTTTTAGTATTTTTGCTATAAATCGGGGAGGACTTTCGAAAAATTCCAAAAAGACTACCTCTCAGATATGGGCTGAAAACTCAAGCTCGATTGGACGAGTTTTTAGTAAAATCGTAATGGGTGCCAATGAAAACCCGAGTTTTCTCGAAATCTCAGAAAGAATTATAGACAAATAGTTGAGATAAAAAAGTAATGGTACGCAGATAACTTTTTATCTATCCTGAAAATATGAAGTCCTTATCACATTTACGGAGCGATTTGAGGAAAAGCCAGAAATGAGAGACGGTTTATTCTAAAGCGGACATGAACATGCAGTCGTGAAATATCTGTTAAAGATCCGGCTAGTTCAATATTGATTTCTTGTAAAGAAGGTCATTATGAATTGTCTAACAAACCAAGTTCACTATTGTGTAGAGGAAAAAACCGTGAAGTCTTTTTTTGAAAATTATCGAACTTTTAGGATTTACCTCGAAAGAAGCAAGCATCGTCGAAAAATCAGAATAAGAGTGTCCCACGTTCAACTCAAAATGATCGGAATCAATCGTTCTCGAGAAAAAGTCAGTGAGAAAATCGAATGAATTTGATCACGATAATAACATTTACAAATATAATCAGCAAAGTAAATTGTACCTCAATGAGATCTTACTGTCTTAAAACTTTTGCCTCTCACAATCTTCATAAACAGACCTGGCCGAATTGTTGTCCGTAATCTAGTGAACGAGGGAAAGGATAGACTGATTAGTTTTTTCTGTTTTTTCTGCTATATGAACTTAAACTTCTAGTCTTCCTTATTTCCCTAAGAATGAATGAGTATAAGTTTCACAAAATGTCACGCAGCTGAAAAATAAAAGTGATAACAGAATCTACATTTATAAATTTACCGCCAGCTTATAACTGATTCATCTAAACACGTAACTATTTGTATTAGCCTCTCAAAGTATTTATAACACATAAATAAAAGAAATCTTTTTTTTTTCTTTTTATAAATGCCAAACCTGTTTTGCTTGAAAATCTCATTTTAGTTTAAATTATCAAGCGTATATCCTGTGTGCCTTGATTAAAAACTAGTTATAGATAAAACTTATATTCGAAAGAAGAAGAAGAAGAAAAAAAAATGATGAGAACTTACAACATGGCGTCATGAAAAAAGGAGGAGATCATCAACATTAAAAAAAAAAAAGAAATATAGAAAATGTCCTGAGGGAATTATATTTTTACAAAACGATATCATAGTAGGAAGTTCGTCATCTGTTTGCCAACAACAACATTTTTGTAGAAATATCGCCCTATAATTATAAATAAAATTGATATAAGAAGATACTATTGCTTGCTCTTCTTCTAGCACATACGGTAATGAGAGATGTTGGTACATTGAAAAAATAAAGAAAAAAAAAAAGAAAAGACTTTCCATTCGTACTAAATTATATGATTATTACTAGTTTTTTTTTACACACATACATACATCATTAAAGTATAAGATGATGAAAATGGAAGAAAAAGAACGAAGATGAATAAAGTGTCGTTTCCCCTTCACTCCCCCCTTCACGATCTATTATTAACATGATTAACAACAAAATAACTTATTTTTGACTCATCACATTTGTTTAAAAAGAGAGAGAGAAAGAGATGTTCATGGATATTACACAAAAGGAAGTTCATTTTTTTTAACGTTTTTCTTTTAAACCGGAATTTCGTTATATTAATAGTGGAAATATCAATATTTCACTGACACTCGATTTTATTCCTTACAATTTTGATTTTTTTTTTTTCTAATATTTTGTGCATTTGATAAAAAAATACAAAACAAAAAAATATAAAGATTGATTTATTCTTATCACTATATGACATCTACAATAATGGTCAGAAAAAGTAAGATCCTAATCATATTAGATTTAAATAAGCGAAGTGATCATGCAAAAATGAGTAAAATATATTGAACTGTACCCCAGGTAATTATCAATAAGAAAGGAAAAAGTGATATACACCATTAAGATAATCTCTTTTGTAAATCATATTAATCTAAATTGTTTCTAGATAAATTCAATATTCTATCTTGAGACTTTAGTTACCTGTATAAAGTTAAGTCTACCTATTTTATCTTTTATTTTCTACATAAAATAGTAGTGATATAAATTTTAAATGACTAAGATTAAATGTCTAATATATGGGTAACAATAGTTCTCATTTTATAATATTAACAAATCAATTTAAATTATTTAATATTATAATTTCACGATACTATAACTAATTGAAATTGTCTCATCTGACTTTTTTAAGAATAAAAACAAAAATGGATGAATATTTAAAACTAGAAAACAATTGGGTATATATATAATATTTTTATATCCTTGTCTATATTTCAAACTAATAATTTTACATACTTGTTCACGTAAATTTTCTAATATTTTTTCAAAACTTAAATTTCCTTCTAATAAATTTTTTGTTCGTAATAATATTTTATCTTTTGTTATATATCTATTATTATTATTTGCTGTTGGTGTTATACTACTATCATTTATTATATTAATTTCATCATTTTGTATTAGAACAGGAGGATCATATGAATTTTCTATTGTATTTATATTTGTTGTTGTAGGCGATGTAGAATGATCACGTACAGGACGAGCAATAACAAGTCGAACTTGTTGTGATGTTGTTTGACATCGTAATATTCCAGCTACCTGTTCTGAGCTCATACCACGTACACTCAAATAATTAATTTGAAATATATGATCACCCGTGTGGATTCGACCATCCTAAAAGAAAAAAATATATCTCTATATATAAAAGATAGATATTACATTCGACTGAATGAATCACGAAGAGAAAGATACTTAGGAATACAAATAAAATAGAATGGCTTTTATGTATTTCATTAACGTATCATGCAATTAGTCTAAATAAAAAATAAAAAAAAAAACGCAAAGAGGAGGAGCAGTAGTCAACCTCTTTTAGAAATTAAAGAAATAGATGTTCTCTAATAATCTAAATATAATAAAAAGAAAAAAGAAAAACAAAAGAAAAAAAATATCTAACTAGTATTTAAATTGTAATGTGTCTATATAATATATTATTTCAAAAAAATAAAATAAAATAAAATAAAATAAACTCAACCACGTGCCGAAAATAATAATAATGATAAGTTAAAGATTTCTTTTTTTCTTAAACAAAACAGGAAAAAAAATCATTAATCTTTGTAATATATGTAGTAAATCAAATATATATATTTTCATTTTTTCTAACACTCTTGAACCATTATTATTGTTCTAATATTGAGATGTGACCAAAAAAAAGAGAAAAGATAGAAAAATGAAGTTCGTGATGCATTCATAAAAAATGTTTAACAATCCTCTATATTTGACTGTTGTTTGTATTATCAATAAATTTAATGAAACTTTTTTCTCTATTCGTTCCCTCTACATTCACTTTGTGTGTGTGTAACAAGAAAAAAAGAAATCTTTAACTTATCATTATTATTATTTTCGGCACGTGGTTGAGTTTATTTTATTTTA